TGGTAAAGAATTTGGTTTTTGTTTTGTTTTGTTTTGTTTTTTTGGTGTCCAATCTGGGAGTCCCTGGGTGGTGAAAATTGTTAACACACTTGGCTACTTGCTGAAAGATTGGCAGTTCGAGTCCACCCAGAGGTGCCTCAGAAAAAAGGCCTGAGAATCTACCTTGTAAAAATCAGCCACTGAAAACCCTATGGAGCACAGCTCTACTCTGACACACATGGGGTTGCCATGAGTTGGAATTGACTCAACAGCAACTGGACTATAATAAACAACTTTAGGAGTTTCTGCCCAGCTCACAATGATTCCCTCTTCTTTGGGAACTGCTAGTCCCCATGTAAGTACCACACGTGCCACCGTGGGCCACCTCTCTCCATAGTTTATTAAAGCAAAGGTGGATACATGACAATCCTCTACACTGAGTTTTGGACTTTTGAACTGATGCTCACAGAGACTAAGATTAGGAATAGTTCACATAGTTCAGTACTCTAGAGGGGATGTCCTTGAATCCTTACTGCGGAGGTTCCTGTGGCTAACTTGGCTCAAGCCCTTCCCAAGGCTAGGTCACCCACAACTCCACTGGGGTAAAAAAATACCCCAGGAGCCATTCAGAAACTTTGTTTCTGTTACTTGCAACCCTGAAGCAGCTCCAAAGTGTTGGAACCATGTCTTTCTTGTTCTCCATTGTCTCCCAATGCCTGGCCCAAGGCCTGGCCCAAGAAGTGCCTCAAAATGTATGTTAAATTAACAGATAAGGACTGGGCTTCAAAGATAAATGTGGAGTCCAGAGCTAATGGTCACTTAGGCCACTAATGTGACTGCCTTGTTAGCAGGGACTTAGTGTGGGGCTCAGAGCAGAAGATCTGCCCCTTCTGCCCAGGACAGGGTTGGAGGGGTGGCTTTTGGTAGACAGACCACTGGGGCACCAAGACCGTGGAGTATCAAGTATCAAGAGAGCTGCAGAACCCAGAGCCACTGAAAGGCAGAGAATGTTCTCAGACATAGCAGGGAGTGAGGTCCCATGACACTTATTCAAGACCACAGTGATTCAGGCTAATCCACTTTCACCACTTGTCTTGCAGCTCAATTAAGGAGAGCACATACTTCCCACAGTGAGAACCCTGGCCAAGCCAGCCTAGGTTTTGAAAGCCTACTGGCAAATTAGATCTTAATAGCATCGTTCCTTCACAGCGCTTACAGTGCCTAGCAGCCAGAAGAGCCCCAGCAAGTTTTTCACTTTGTTAAGCCAATTAAATCTACCTCCTGGAAGTCCATGCAGTGCCATCTTCAAAAGGGAGGCCAGCCAATTTTCTGAAAGCCAAAAAGCCAAATGACCAATTAACCAACAGCCAAGGTGCTGACTGGTAGATTTTCTGAATGAACACTTAACTAAAATTACCAATTTATAAGGTTTACAGGGAATTCTGTCAGATAGGATGGCTTCGTGAGCTTTTAAAGATTTATGTGATATAGGGTCACTATGAGTTGGAATCAACTTATCAGCAATGGGCTTGAATATTTTTTTTTTTTGGTTTTGTAGTTGACTGGTTTTCATTTTGTCTTCAGAGAAAGCAAAATGTTTTCTATTTATCAAAACCTAAGGGTGGTTTAGTTTTCCTTTGAATATTTTAATGAAGATTATTTTATTGAATATAGATTTTATTTTTGAACATTTAACATTATACCACTCAGTCTCCTCTTTCTGTCCCCCACTTACCTCTTCTCCTTTCCCATCTCCCTTCCCATCCTTCAGACTTCCCCTTTTCCCTCCCACTCAGTGTCCCCCTTTTTCTCCCCTCTTTGTCTTCATCTTTCTGTGTCTTGTTATTGTTGTTGGCTGCCATTGAGTTGGCCCCTAACTCATGGCGACCCCATGCACAATGGAATGAAATACTGCCTTGTCTGGTGCCATTCCCATGATTCATTGAGGATCCCACCATTGTGATCCACAGGGTTTTCATTGGCTGACTTTTGGAAGTATATGGCCAGGCCTTTCTTCCTAGTCTGTCTTAGTCTGGAAGCTCTGCTGAAACCTGTTCAATATCATAGGAACATGCAAGCCTCCACTGATAGACGGGTGGTGGTTATGCTTGAAGTGCATTGGCCAGGAACCAAACCTGGGTCTCCCACGTGGAAGGCAAGAATTCTACCACTGAACTCCCACTGCCTCCTTCTCTGTCTTAATCTCCCCCATCTGCTCCTTAATCTCTCCCACCTCCATCCTTCAGTATCCTACTCTCTGCACATCTAGTTCTTCCTCTCTCCTTCTTCTGTTCCTTGGTGTCACCCATCTCTTCTCCTTGGACCCATCCTGACCCTCTGTCTCCTCCTCTCCACCCTGATTCTCCTCTTATTTCTGCCCCTCATTCTTCTTGCTCTCTCTCATTCTCTCCACCTCAGTTTCCCCCTCTCTGCTTCTGGGTCTCTGTGTAGTAGCAGTGAGCTGAGGGCATAGACAAACTGAACATTCCTTAATATGCTGCCATGAAAAAAAAAGAAAGAAAAACAGTTACTATAATTTCTCAACAATCACAGCAAATGGTTTTTAAAAACCTCATCCCACACGAAGTGTTGTAAACCTTATAAATGATTCAAAAGAAGCCAATTTTTGGTAAATCAGTAAAGTTGGTAAATTTGGCAAATTGGTCATTCTGGGAAGTGGCTTTAAGCTAATCAGCCTTAACCCCATAAAAAGAAACCTGAAGGAGCTCCTGAGTCTTAGCCACAATCATGGTCTCTATGACAGCCTTCCCCTATAAAGGATTTGTTTTAATATTTAGGGCAGAAAGCCTGGCTTCAGCTGGATTTTGTGCAAGCTGCCATCCATCGATTCTTTCCTAAATGTGCTGGGGCTGAGTTATCTCCGCACCATAGTCCACTGCTTTTCATAAGTTCAAAATTAATTCAATCACACAGAAGGGAGTAGGAAGGGTAGGCTGATACAGTGGAAAGGAAGCAGATTCCAGAATCAGGTCACGAAGCAGTTCCTTAACCCTCTGCTTCAATTTGCCTATTTGTAAAAACAAGGAAATCCCTTTCATGAGGTTGTTGTGAAGGTTAAATGAGATAACATGGGTAAGGCACAAAGCCTGGAACATAGCATATCCTTAGTATGGTTTAAAAAATATATGAGTGTCTGCTGTGTACCTGCCACTGTGGCAAGCACCATAGACACTATATAATAAAATAACACATGGACCCTATTGTTTAGACTCTGACCATTTACACTTATTAACTATTTCTTTGAGTTCTTGTCAGGCTCAAATCCAGGTCTTTTTGACTCCAAAGTCAGAGCTCAGAACTACTTCTCTCTACTACTTCCCTTGATTATGTTCATCAACATGAGGAATCAGCACTTAGCGATTTGTCTGTGTGGAGTGGTCTTTTTAAGTGTTCTTGGGTCCTGAGTGATCCTGAGACAAAACTCTCTCACAGGTCTTCAGGGCAATTGTTTCTGTCCTGGAAATAGACCAGCTGTAGCTTCTAAAACAGGATAAATGTCTCCTACACTCCCCTGGTTTTGAGCAAGAACTTTTGGTGACGCAAAACAGAGTGAGAATGAAGCTTTTTATTAAAAAAAAAATCCTTTTCTAAAGACATTTACAAATGCAAACAGAAATCTAAGAGTACATTTGAATGTACCTTCTCAGTCCAAGAGACTCCAAAAGGTAGAAGTAAAGAAATCACTTAACAGTATAGTTTCAAACATCGTATTTAGATAGGTAAAGATATCTCATTTTAACAGATCATGCAAACAGGAACACAAGATACAAAATACCAGCTTGTACAGGTGCTCCCCTTTGCTACACATATTACCGTTTAGGATCAAGTTTTAAAATATAAATCACAACCAGATTGCAACATAAACACTAAGTAAAACTGTATGTTTTCATGCTTTTGTTACTTTTTACTTAAGAAGTCTGAGTATAAAAGCACATGGCAACTTTTCAACGAACAAAACAGAACTCACAGGTAAAAAGCAGTCACCTTCTGTGGCCACAGCTTATTCTATGTCAGCTGTTCTTCCTCTCAACTTATTTTTTCAAGAATTGCCACCACTCTTGGGAATGTGCGTGCGTGCGTTGTGCGTTCGTGCGTGCGTGCGTGTGTGCGTGTGTGCGTGTGTGTGTGTGTACTTAGGAATACAAATCTCTGCCTTTTGGAGAAAATATGGTACCAGACAGTATTTTTAGCCTATCTCCCCTGCATAACTAGCTATGTGGCCTCGGGCAACTTAACCTTGCCACACCTCAATTAGCAGGAGCCTGTAATAACACCCTCCTGTTGTGGGGTGCTTGGGGCTTAAATAAGATAAACATGGTACCAGTTAAACCAGTTGCCATTGAGTCGACTCTAACTCATGATGACTCCATGTGTGTCAGAGTAGAACTGTGCTCCATAGGGTTTTCAATGGCTGATTTTTCAGAAGCAGATTGCCTGGCCTTTCTTCCAAGGCCTCTGGGTGGAATCAAACTGCCAACCTTTAGCAGCCGAATTTGCACCATTTGCACCACCCAGGGACTCCAAGCCTGGTACAGCCTTCAAGAAATAAAGCTTTCTTTCCTTTATTCTGTTTTTTGTTTTGATTGTGTAACCGTTTTCTCTTTCTTTTGAGGGCAGCTTTTATCATTATGTTTTTTAAGAGCCAAAAGGAATCTGGGGTTGAAAATGATGGATGCTCAAGCTGCATAATTTCCTACTCTTGTGTGAGTGAGAAATAATAAGGTAGAATTTCCAGGGTGGTTGAGATACTGGTTCTGGAGAAAGTTGTAAAAGAGGCTCAGAAGAGAGGTGTTCTGAGAAGTGGCAGCCACAGAGGGACAGCTGTCCTGCCTCTCAAGGTGACCCCTTCAAGGGAACATCATCTATTTGCATATATAATTCTCTGCACAGTCATCCAGCTCCATTCCAGGAAAGACTGAGAGTTCTGGTTAATGCTCCAGTGAAAATCTACCCACATTCCCTTCAGTTGCTAATTAATTCAAGTCGAAAACTTGAATTGAAAGGACAGTCTGAGGCTTCCAAATTTCCCAAGGAGCAGGAGAGTTCTGTCCAGGTCTGATTCTCTTAGAGATACTCTGCTTTCTACTCAGAGTATAATGTCTCTGCTGTTCTTCCAACGGTGCATAAGAACTTTCCAAATGAACTAGCCCTTAAGACTGTTGTTTTGACTCCAGAAAGCCCAGGGGCCTGGCAACACACAGGCGTTTACCCTCCATTGCCTTCTAGGACACCATCGGCATCACTTTGTTGCAACCCCTCAGAACCTCCTTTAGGAGCGAATGTGAAGAATTTTCTTGAATGTCTTCTTGAAGTTCTCATTGCATAAGGGATAGATGAAGGGGTTCAGCATGGAGTTGATGTAGCCCAGCCAGATGGTGAACATATGCACTTGCTCATTGCAGCAGCTCTTGCAGAAGGCAATTACCATGAAGAAGATGAAGTAGGGAATCCAGCAAAGGATGAAGGCTGCCATAATAAAACCCAATTGTTTGGCCGCCTTCCGTTCGCGGTTCATGTGCAACCCAGACACATACTGTCTTGAATGTGAGTGAAGTCTCTTCCACGTGAGCTTGATATAATCCAGGCCCGTGCTAGACCCACTTTTCAACTTGCCTTTCCCCGATGCTGGCTCAGTGGAGGTGTTTGCGTCTGCTTGGGCAAAGGACTGGCTATCACCTAGGGTCTGGTCTTCTGATACCTTGCCAGCCCCACGTGTGTTCAGGCCATGCTCATCTGTCTCAAGCTGGCTCTGGTTGATGGCTCCATACTCCCTGCTCCTCCCTTCCACCATGGTCTGAGCTGACACTGTGGTAAGTGGGAAGGAGTAGAGTTTGGCCACTTCATCCTCTTGGCTGAAGACAACCGGGGATTTCATTTCCTCTGGGTCTTGGGATAGTGGCTTTGAGACAGGTCCACCACTGGCATCTTTCCGCTTCCTTTTCAGAACATCCCAGGAAGACTCTTTTCCTGGTTTCTTGGCACCCACCTTGGGATTCTCTGGCTTCAGGCTAATTTCTGAGAAGGAAGGGAGGTGTCCATTGGTGAGTGCCCGGTGCTGACAATGTTGCTGCACGGCCTTGTAAATCTTGGCATAGAACCAGAGCATGAGCAAAGTGGGCAGGTAGAAGTTGATGATAGCAGTCATGATCTTGAACCAGGTGACATCATAGAAGTCTGTCTCACACTTGTCGCCCGGGCACTTCGAGCCCCCTGATATGAAACGATGCCAGCCTAGAATAGGGATAATCCACAAGAAGGAGAGAAACCAGGCACCCATGATGGTGGCTGATGCTCTGGTCTTGGTACGATACTGCAGGTACCTGAGGGGCTGCTGGACAGAGCGGTAGCGGTCAATGCACAAGATAAAGATGCTGAAAATGGATGCTGTGCTGGCTACGTAGTCCATGGACAGCCAAAACAGGCAGAGAGGCCGGCCCAGGGACCACTTTGTCATGAAGAGGTAAAGGATGTTCATGGGCATGACAACAGCTCCCACGATCAGGTCTGCCACTGAGAGGCTGACAATGTAGAGGTTCCCCACAGTGTGCAGCTTCCGCTCGCTCCGAACGGCATACAGGACCAGCAGGTTGAGCCCCACCGTGACCAAGGAGATGGTGGTCAGGACCACCACCAGGGGCATCAGTTGAGGGCTGGCAATGGTGGTCCTGTTCCCTTCACACATCTTGTCTTCTATGATGCAGGAGGAATTGGGAAGGGTCATTGGCACAAGAACAGCCTCCAGCTATGGCTCACTCCCTGGAGGAAAGACACAAGGACTCAGGTCAGGGATTTGATGATCAGCAGTAGCATTGTGTTTATCAAACTGGGGCTGCATGCTGTGAGGGGCAGGGCACTGCCAGTTACCTATCCAAAAGTCATATCCCCTTTTTCCTTGTTGTATTTATTTGTTCATTCATTCATTCATTCAATGACAATTGAATTCCCGGCACTGTTCTAGGTGTTGGGGATACAGCAATGAACAAAATAGATAAAAATCTCTGTTCTCATGCGGCTCACATTCAAGGGAGGGAACTGAGTAAAAAACAACAAATAATGTGTACAAGTCTGATTTTGCACATGTTCTGGGATGGTGGGATGCATCATGATCAGTCTAAGCTGAAAATCTAATTCCTTGTTGCCAGGGATTGGTCTAGGAGTGGGCATGAGACATGACTGTAGCCAATGAAATAGACTGGGGAGTCTGATGATGGAGGTGGGGCTCTAGGAATGTTCTTCCTCTCTGATAAATGATGAAAACAAGGAAAAGAATAATTTCCCACTTGCCTCTTCTACCTGCTGGGAAGTGAAAAGCCCCATAGCTTTGGGCTATGGCAGTCATTTTGGGGCCATGAGGGAAATGCCAAGAAAATCATTGAGACACCAACCCAGAACTCTGCTATCACTGAGCTGCTGAACCAACCCTGGAGTCTTCTTCCTCCAGACTTGTTATAGGAAATAATTAAATGTCTTTTTTGCTTAAGTCATTGTTACAGGAGTTTTTACTTTCAGCTAAAAGCATCACTAACTGACATGAGGAAGGTTACAAGGGGATGTGCCAGAGGTATACAAAGCATGATATAAATCTAATATATCTCACTAGAACATTGGTTCTAAGATGGCAAGAGGGCTATGTTATTTGAAACATAACATACATGTTTGTTATTTTATTTTTATATTTGAAAAACAAAAAATATTTTTTTCATAGTACAAACTATATAAAGTAATGTGTAACAAAACCTTCCTAGCTAGTAAGGCTATACAGAAAACAGATTTTATCCTCTGCTTTTTGGTGATCCTCAACTGGGGGTGTGTAATGAGTTGAATGATGGCCCCCCAAAAGATAAGTCCAAGTCTTAATCCTCAGGACCTGTGTATGTGACCTTGTTTGGAAAAAGGGTCTCTGCAGATGTAATTAGTTTAAGGATCTTGTGATGAGATCATCCAGGTGGACCCTAATTCCAATAACAAATGCCCTTACAAAAGAAAGGTGGAGGGAGATTTGAGGCAGACAGAAGAGGAGAAGACACAGATGCCTATGCATCTATAGGAGAAGGTAATGGGAAGATAAAGGCAGAGATTGAAGTGAAGCGGCCGCAAGCCAAGGGAGCCAACAACCACCACCAGAAGCTAAAAGAGGCATGAAACAGAATCTCCTCTAGAGCCTCTGTAGGGAGCACAGACTTGCCGACATCTTATTTTCAGACTTCTGGCCTCCAGAACTAAGAGAATAAATTTCTGTTGAAAGCCATCCAGCTTGTGGTAATTTGTTACAGTAGCCACAGGAAATTAATTCAGGATAGAAGGTAGAAGTAGGTATTAAAACTCTGGCAGAGGTTGTTAGATTTTTATATTCATCAAAAGGTGGTATGAGTTCAAAGAAAGTTAAGAAGCACTAACTGAGTGTAAATTTCTCTTGCTAATTTAGCAAAAACTAATTATTTTCACATTAAGACAATGCCAGATCAATTCTAGAGTCGAAGGCAAAAGTCATATAATTTTTTAAAGATAAAAATCATTACCCCAAGGCATTTGATCCTTGTGGAAGGAACCCTTGGGGTTACTGAGTTGGAAAAGCACCATTGGGGTAGCACTGGTTTTGCCCCAGCTCTGCCACTAAGTTTTAAGTGACCGTTGGCTTCCATTTTCTCACATGTCAAATGTGTAAGGAGGGGTAGATGAGCTCTGAAACCTTTTCCAGATCTTCTTTTAGAAGCTCAATTTAGGTGTTTTTAGATGTTTTCCTCCAGCTCTGATTTGCAATAGTCAAAGTACGCCTCCGACTTCTCTGATTGTGCCTCCTCTGACACCTTCAATAGCATTGCTTTCTCTTCCTGCTCCTTAAATGCTCACAGGACCCGAAGTCCTGCCCTCTACTCCTGTCTTCTCTGCTCTCTGCCTCAGGGGCCTTATCCATGCACCCTTCCCCACCCCAACTATCACCTGTATGAGGATAACTTCCAAACCTACATCTTCAGCCTGTATCTTTCTCCATTCCTCGACCCAACCCAATAGCTTATAGCTTCACCTTCAGCCCTGACCAAGTCTAACCCCCTTGGAATTGTCCATAGCCATCTCAAGAAGGAAGCAAGCTAAGTGTGATGGTTAATTTTATGTGTCTTCTTGGCTCAGCTGTGGTTCCCAGCTGTTTTGTCAAACACTAGACTATTTGCCATTCCACAATGTAATTGAATGCAATCATTTTCCACAATATGATCTAATGTAATGTAATCAATCAATTTATTGAAAGGAGAGTTCCTTACAGCGTCATCTGCCTTCAGACTATAAATAAATATTTCCGCAGAACTTCTGCTCTCTTGACTCTGCACTCTTCCCCTCGCCTGATCTTGTGATGGAAACCTCTATAAGTCTCCAGCCTACCGCCTGACCTACAGATTTGGGACTTGCCAGCCCCTACAACTGCATGAGCCAATCCCGTGACATAGACCAATCTCTCTCTCTATATATATACACATACAAACATACACACCTCTGGTTCTGTTTCTCTAGAGAACCCTGACACTAGGCATCAGCTCAGGGATTTTTTTTTTTTTTTGGTTGGGAAGAGGTAGGAAGCAGTTCCCTTAAACCTCACATAGCTGGGCATTCACAATTGTCATGGATTGAATTGTTTCCCCCCAGAATATGTCAACTTGGTTAAGCCATGATTCCCAGTATTGTGTGGTTGTCCTCCATTTTGTGACTGTAATTTTATGTTAAAGAGGATTAGGGTGGGATTGTAACCCCCTTACTAAGGTCACATCCCTGATCCAATGTAAAGGGAGTTTCCCTAGGATGTGGCCTGCACCACCTTTTAGCTTACAAGAGATAAAAGGAAAGAGAAGCAAGCAGAGAGGTGGGGACCTCATACCACCAAGAAAGCAGTGCCAGCAGTAGAGCGTGGCCTTTGGACCCAGAGTTCCTGCACAGAGGAGCTCCTAGTCCAGGGGAAGATTGATGACAAGACCTTTCTTCAGAGCCAACAGAGAGAGAAAGACTTCCCCTGGAGCTGATGCCCTGAATTTGGACTTCTAGCCTACTAGACTGAGAAAATAAATATCTCTTTGTTAAAGGCATCCACTTGTGTTATTTCTGTTATAGCAGCACTAGATAACTAAGACAATGTAGCTCTTACCCCTTATTACAGAGGTGTCTCATTTCTCTTTTTCCTTATTGTCCGCCTCACAGAGAAGAATCAATCTTTTTTTTTCATTGTGCATATACTATGTATCATACAATAATTATATTTGACATAAAATGATTTTTATATAAAAATCTATATATTGTCCCCTTTCTATTAAAAAGTTGTTATGATTGAATTAAGATCTCTGAACTAAAAATTAGTGTAGCCTATTCAGAGTTTAAGCATGAAGTCTACTGATGTTTGTAACTTATATTAAAATGCATCAAAGAATAAGTTGGTTGATGGCTGGTTAGAAGAATGGATGAACGAGTAGTAGACATATGGTAAGGCAAAAGGGAAAAATGTTAACTTATAATCTGTGTGGTGGGTATATGGATGTTTATTGCACAATTCTTCCAACTTTTCTATTTTACTGATATTTTTCATAATAAAATATTGGGGAAATTAAGGTAGCATACGTTTATCTTCATCACCTATTACAGTATGCTCAATTCTTTATCAATTTTCTCCTGTGTAGCTTGGGTGTGTTATTTTGCTTAAAGATAGAAGCAAAAGCTCAATCAACATTTGTTAAATGATTTGCATAAATGAGTGAGGTGTGGGGCCCTATGAAGCATCTCAGCTCAGAAATTATTCATTCAATAAATATTTACTGTTACTTCTTGCTCAGCTCAGTGTTCTGTTTCAGGATCAAGAAAATCTGTTGTCCACAGAAGCCATAGGATTCAGAAAACAATTCCCAGAAGGGCAACTGCAGCACTTGAGCTACACACAGCCCTTGACACTGGCCTCCACCTCAGGTGCCCCAGGAGTTTCAAGCAAGGAGGACACAGCCTCAGGGCACTGTGTGACCCAGGTGCTGAGTCTGGAAAAAAAAAGGCCACTCAGGGAGGGCAGCATGAGGGCTTTTCCTTCTATGGCCAGTAGAAAATCAGCATCTACCTCATGTTCCACTCGGGACCGATGACAGAATTTGTGGGGTTCAGTAAAAAAAAACAAAACAAAAAAACCCAACATTTTAAAGTTCAGAATTTCAAGATGTGACAGCACAGCATTAAAACCAAGTGCAGGGCCTCCGGAGCATGAGGCCCATGAAGTCAGCCCTGGTCTCACTTCCTCTCACCTAATCCCTAAATAGGCTCTAACCAAACCAGCTGTCATCCAGCCAATTCCGACTCTTGGCAATCCCATGTGTGCAGAGTAGAACTGTGCTCCATAAGGTTTTCAATGGTTGAGTTTTTGGCAGTAGATTGCCAGGCTTTTCTTCTGAGGTGCCTTTGGGTGGACTGGAACCGCCAGCGTTTTGGTTAGCATTAACTGTTTGTACTATCCAGGGATTCCGAACAGGCTCTAGTCAGTGATACAAAGTAAGACACTTTCCCTCCCTCAGGGATCTGCATTCTGAAAAATAGATTCGTGAATGGTTTTCCCTGTATAGGAGCCCTGGTGGCACAGTGTTCAGCTGCTAACCAGAGGGTTGTCAGTTCAAATCCAGCAGCCGCTCCTTGAAAACCCTATGGGACAGTTCTACTCTGTCCTGTAGCGTCGCTATGAGTTGGAATCAACTTGATGGCAACAGG